GTAGCTCGGTAGGTAGATTTAGGTTGATCGTGGTATTACACTATATCATTTAGTATAACATTTTCTGGAAGCACCTGAGACACTCTCTATGCCATCTTAGTGATATGAAGCCTTCCTTTGAGATTGGCAACATTGTCAGTATCTACTGTAGACTGCGAACTAGTAAGTACTGCTAATTGGAATGCTCCAAGAAAATACCTTCATGTGGATAAATTAGATCACTCTTTGAATATTTTCTGATTTAATACTTAAAAAAACTTAAGCAAGAATATGTTCTGATTGATTATATGCCATTAAGTCACTGTTAACTCCACAAAGATAGATCATATTCAGTATGATCTGTCCCCCAAATGATCTTCAGGTCTTCTAACAGTATACCTAGTACTACTGAAATTGACTACATGTGCCTTCTTACTGATGGTCCTCATTTCCTTTCACTTTCTTCAGAAATCTGTGTCTTCACATAATATGTCCAAAATATGATCATCTGTACGTAATTACTTATGTCTCAATTGAGAACTTTAGATGGATGGATTCTTAAGATTGCTTATTGCGGAAGGGGGCTGTCCATGTGATTTTTATAAGTCTTCTCCTATACTGTACTAAAGTTCAATATTCAGTATCAGTTCAGTATCAATATTCCTTTTATTCCACATTTTCAAAGTAGACGCTTCATGGAATCTGAATATCTTTTCCAAGGTTTTCATTGCTGGTCTGACACGTGCTAGTCTTTGTCATGTTTCTGAAATCTTGATACTTTTATTGTTGATAATCAATCCTAAAATGTAGGAGCACATTATTATTTTTATTGATAATTTTAAACTGATTGTTATATATGTTTTTTTCGTTGATCTTTTCAAAATTTAATCTTATTCCATTTTCCACTGTGATCCTTGCTTTTTGTTACTAGAGTTTCCAGCTAATTTGCATTTTCAGCTAACAAAGTAGTCATTAATATATCAATAGTGCAGGTTATTTATGTTTATTTCTTCAGTCTTAAAACTGTGCTCATCTTCTTCCAATCCAGCTTCTCTTAATACATATTCAATATATAACTTGAATAAATAAGGGACAGTATACAGCCTTGTCACACTCACCCCTTTGTCTGTTTCACCATGTCCTGTTCATTCTCTGGCTTCCTGACCTGCATATAGGTTTGTTATGAGAAGAATGAATTGTTTTGCAACTTATTTTTCTAATAACATTCCACTGTGATTTGATTAACACAATCAAAATCCTTTCTATAATCAATGAAGCATATAGAGAGTGCTTTTACCTTTCTCAATTTTCCAGCATGGATCACAATTGTTTCTCAGTCTATTCAAAAGCCAGTTCAAACATCTCCCTTTCTTTGTAGGCTCTAACTTGTAGTGGATGAGCTGTAGCATTATTTTTCTGCCAGGTGAAATTAAGGATATTGAACAATAGTTTTCACAACTTGTTAAGTCTCCTTTGTAATACAGTATGTAAACTTTCCTGTTCCAATCTGTTGTTGGGTTATTGTCCTTACTTTATATACAGTAGTTTGATTAGGAGCTTTACTGATTCTGCTTATCATATTTCTGTAGTTGTTCCATCAAACTCTATAATTTTCTATCTTGGAAATGACTAAGTGCTGATTTTATTTCATTTATTTCAGTAGTAGAGGTTCTTTTAAATAGGAAATATTTTCTAAGGTGGCTTTGATGTTAACATCTTCAGTATAGTCCTTTATCTCTATTTGAATTAGCCATTATCTGTCCATTGGCATCCCTTAGTACAATAATTTAGGATTAGAATGTCCTTCTGAGTTCAGACACCTTTTATTAAAAAAAACCCTTGCTTTTTTGTGTACACTTCTATTTCCAGGGTTTTTAGAGAGTGGTACTCTGTTTCTTCCAACAACTCCCTAAAAAGCTTTTAAGTTATTTATCTGATATCTTTGTCATTCTTGGTTTTATCTTCTCTTTTTGGTAGACTGTTTCTTTTGCTATTCAGTTTCCCTTCTTCTGTTTCTTGAATTCTTAGGAATCAGTCTTTTTCACAACCATATCTGCTTGATTTTATTGCAGAGTTCTTCTGATACCCTTTCAATTACGTATACTCAGAATGCCAAAGTGATTTCTTACATTCTCCTTGAAATTGGGGAACACATGTTCAAGATCCTATCATGCAAACTGGTTGATTTGTTTTGCTTTATCTAATTTGTAACTTGCATGCTAACTGTTTGTGAACCATTCTACAGTCACCACGGGGCTACAGCTTTCCTGATGACCTTCATAATATCCTCTTGGGAATATCTTAGTGTACATGGTTTGCAAAATGCAAATGTTTGTTTGTTTGTTTATTGGATTTATATGCCACTCTTCTCCCAAAGGACTCAGGGCGGCATATAACATTAAAAAAAAACACATATTACAAAAGTTAAAAANCTTCTTTTGTTGCCCTGCATGCAGGAGAAGAGCTGGAAGGCAGGTTAGTCAGGGAATTTGATGAAATGGAAGTGAGGATTTTGAATTACCATTTTGTCTGGGATGGGGTGGAAGTGAAGATTTTGCATTATGATTGCTCATAAGTAAGTAAGAACCAGTAAAAGGGGAATGGAAATATCCCTATCTGTAGATCATCATTTTTCAGTCTTAGCAAGTTTAAGATGGGCCTTGGGAATTCTGGAATTGAAGTCCACACACCTTAAAACTGCCCAAGTTGAGAAGCATGGGTCTACAGTATACCTTAGGATTTTCCATTCCTGCTTTCCACAATTTCCCGATAGTTGAAACAATCAGTGGAACAACTTGCCTCCAGAAGTTGTGAATGCTCCATCACTGGACATTCTTAAGATGAGGTTGGATAACCATTTAAACGAAGTGGTGCAGGGTTTCCTGCAGGGGTGGGCTTCAAAAACCTTAGCAAGGGGTTCTCTGCCTGATTGCTGGGTGGGCGTAGCCTAGTCAGCCTCCTGCACTATGGCGGGAGGGGGAGTTTTGGCCCCACCCCGGCTCTGTAGGCTTTCCTCGAGCCTCCTCAAGCTCCGGACAACCGCTCTTATTATCTTATTATCCAGGAGATAATGGGGCTGTCCCTTTGCCACTTGAGGGGCTGACTCATCCCCTTCTCAAGTAATGGGTAAGAAGATGTTGGACAGCCATTTGTCTGAAATGGTTTCCTGCCTAGGCCGGGGGTTGGACTTGAAGACCTCCAAGGTCCCATCCAACTCTGCTATTGTATTGTATTGTAACTGTCTCTAGACCAAACCATACTAGATCATTTCCGCACTGTATCCAACCTTTTCTTTTTAGAGCAGGATCTTGAGAATGTGGATGCACAACAGCCTGGAAGGATCCTGAAGATGATTATCTGGAGCCCTTTCGGGAAGCTTCAGGACTGGAATTGAAACAGGGCCAGTTGTGCATGGGGACCCTCATCCTTCTTGGCCCCTCAGTCTTCCCCACCTTCCCCACCAGAGTATCCTTTGGTTGGGGCTCTGGAGGGGGGAAGTGCTGCCTTCTGCTGACCCTTCTGGATGGGGGTGAACAGGCTGGCGCTCGATCCTGACAAGACCGAGTGGCTTGTGTTTTTTCCTCCCACAAATTGGCCTAGTGTTCCATCTCTCAGGCTGGGGGGTGAAATTATACGCCCCCTCAGACA